GTCTTGCGCAGCGACCGTTGCTGCTTGCCCCTTGACTATGCAGGACCGAGCTCCTGGAGCCCCTTGTCTGCAGTTGGGTGACAGCCCTGTAGTGCTAGACTAGAACTCATGCGCTGACAAACCGAAACGAGGCCGCTGTGGAGGTTGTGCTGCATGGCATCTGGGTGACGAACGTGCACGGCAGCCCCAGCTATACACCTTGTAAGCACTGCCGCACCAAAATTGATGCAAGCACACAGGCCTGCAAGAAGAAGGCTGAGGGCTGCGCTTCCACGCCGAATGACGAGGTGGCTGTCCTTGCAACTTTGGACATTGCTGACCACACGGGCTGCTTGGAGCGTGTTCTCGTTGGCGAAGCTGCGCTGTGTGACTTGTCGGCTGCTGAAGATAAGCAGGCACTGCTGCGTATCCTTGACAAAGAGGGGCCCGCGGGGCTGTGCTTTCGAACTCAGCTGGACATTCGCTTGGCCACCAGCTCCAGCATGAACAAGTATCGGCCTGCGACAGACTCTACTGCTGCTACGACCCAACAGGACTCTCAAGACTCCGATAGCAAGGCTTCGAGCACGACAGAGTGTCAGTTCCAGGTCCTGGCGGCGCAGCCGTGCTTGGGAAGGCCTACGATGCTCATAGCCGCCCCATGATCAAAAAGGTGCTGCGCCTTGCCGGGTCGAGGCCAGAAGGGGCCGTGTATCCGGTTAGCAGCGTGTACACTGACGTGTCCTACTCCGGCATGGGCATCAAGGTCAACGGCGCAGTGATCTTCCCGGCCTTTGTGACCATCCTGGCACGTGCAAAGGACGCAGGCGAGCTGCGTCGATTTGGCGATCAGAGCGACGAGCACGTCTTGATTCAGCACGCCCAAGTTGTGCCTGTCGACGCGGCTGTTGCAGAGGAAGAGTTCTGCGTGGAAGCCATGTGCAGCTTTGCCCAGTGCTTGCAGTACAGCATGTCCGACGGGACTCCCCGGCTACTTCTCGGAGCGCTGACTCGCGAAGACAAAGCGGGTAAGGTCACCATGGTCGTGGAGCGCATGTTTCGTGTCAAGGACGAGGGCCAAGTGGACAACCTTGCTGCTGAGCGCTCCCTGGTCGTGGAGCTGCAGGCTGACTCCGCGCAGACCACGGCGACGAAGCGTCCGGCTGACGCCCTCGTGGCGCAAACTCCCTCCAAGGTCAAAAGCGGACGCTGGGAAATTCGGAAGGAGACCTAGTAGTAGTAGTAGTAGCTTCGAGTCTTTTCTCACACCATTTGAAACGCGACCAGGAAGGCGTGCTCTTTGCGAATCCCGGGCGCTAACTTCATGTTGACAGGCGGCTGTGAAAAAAGCACGAGGGCACACGAGAACTGGAGCGCATGCGGACTGGATGCTGTGCAGGGGCCGTCAGCAGCTTCTGGTGCAAGACTATGGCGCAGCTTGATACCATGTCGGACTGCGCTTTGCCTGCGCCATGCGACGGGTTGGAGGAATGGATAGAGGACCGCCAGCGAGCCGTCGACAGCTGCTTCAAAAAGCGCAGCGCCTGGTCGGACCTGGACTGCCGAGTGTGGCAGCACGACTATAGCTTCAAGATTATTGAAGCCTGGCCGCTGGATGCCTGCGTCGTGCACTCCGAGAACGCAAGTCAGAATGTGTTGCTGGGAAGCCTCAAAGCTGCCTGCTCCTTGGCGGACATCCACAGCCCGTCCGGGGCGCTCCGCAGGATTGGCGCCAATACTTCGCAGACTTTGGCGCTCGTCATCTCCAAGGACACCTAGAGGACTGGACTGTAAAGCAGCCGCGCAACAGCGCGGACCAGCTCCGGCAGTGTGCTCTGGACTGCTTCACGCATTGGAAGCACCTCTGTTGCCAGCTTTGGAGGTTGGCCAAACTTCACGTCTGCGAAAAGAAAGACATGCAAGTCTTGTTCCATTGCTTTGGCGGCATCAACCGCAGCGCTGGCGCGCTCTGCGCGTGGCTCATTGTAGCCTACGGCTTTTCTGCTGCGAGCGCAATTGATCTCTTGCTCGAGAAGCGCCCTGGCCTTCGTCCATGGCGTCATCGGAGATACGTGCTGTGGGCTCTGTACGCGGTGGAGCAAAGTCGAACTTCTTGGCGGTTAGACTTCGGCGACTGCAAGGACGACCTTGGCGAGCGTGATCTTTGTGACTCCTCCGGTCAGCATAATTACCTCGTGAGTGAGTAGAGACTGAGCGCGCAGGTAGTGATGCACGGCTTGTTGCTGAGTGCAACGAGCAGGCGAATGTTTTCGAAGCTCTGTTGTCTCAGTGGCAGACTGTCTGCAAGTGCGTGACACCCGCCTCGCACGCGACGAGCAACAACAATGCGAGCGAGTCACGAGCGCTCTAGGCTTTTGCTTCTTGCTTGTGCGCAGGCGGAAAACTCCGGCGCGACGCACGCTCGAGTCAAAGTCCGCCACGCGCAGCCTCACGCGCAGCATCATATGCCACAGCATGCGCAGCATCGCGCGCAGCGTCACGCACCGTGCCACGCACACCTTGGCGCGCAGCATGCAGACGAGTGGCCCGGAAGCAACATAGGCGACAGGCGAAGTAATTCTCGAAAAGTTGGTAAGAGAAGCTGCCAGACAACATCAGCACATTGACGTGACACGCTTGAGCGCTTGCACTGACTCCACGTTTTGCTCTTCGAGGGAAGCCGAGTGAAGCCGGACAACATCAGCAGATTGAACAACTCACATCAGCAGCTTGAGCATTTGTGCTCATTGCACGATGTTGCACTTGAGTGGAGCCGAGGGAAGCCGAGTGAAGCCGGACAACATCAGCAGATTGAACAACCTACATGACACGCTTGAGCATTTGTGCTGCTTGCACGCTGTTGCACTTGAGTGAAGCCGAGGGAAGCCAAGGGAAGCCGAGTGAAGCCGGACAACATCAGCAGATTGAGCAACCTACATGACACGCTTGTGCGTTTGCATTGAGACCTCGTTATGTAAGTTTCCTGCGCTCCGGTCTCGCTCCGCCCAGGTGGTGGTGGTTTCTCCACGGTGCCTCAGGTGTTGGTTCTCCCCCGCCTCGCCTTCCGCGCCACGCGCCTGGTGGTTGGTTCAAGCTGGCGCGGAGCAATTCTCGCCCTTTGCCGCGTAGAGTTAGCTGCGGAGCAGTTCCTATGTTCCGGCTTGACGCGCGGCGGGGCTCTCAAGCACCTGGGCATGTGGCGCGTGTGATTTATTACTGTGTTATGTTTTAGTCTTGTTTTGTCACACCCACGTCCTGCGCAGCATCGCGCGCAGCATCACACACCGCCGCCACGCACAGCTTCGCGCGCAGCATGCAGCCGCCGTATCTTTTAACATGCGCTTCGCGATCTTCCTCGATGCTGCCACTTTGAAAACATCAGCACATTGAGCAGCCTGCGTGACATGCTTGAGCGCTTAGTGTGGACTCCACGTTTGCCTGTCGAGTGAAGCCGAGGGAAGCCGAGTGAAGCCAGACAACATCAGCAGATTGAACAACCTACATAACATGCTTGAGCAGTTGTGCTGCCTGCACGCTGTTGCACTCGAGTGAAGCCAAGGGAAGCCGAGTGAAGCCGGACAACATCAGCAGATTGAACAACCTCCGTGCCACACTTCTGCATTTGCATTTGTAAGTTGCCTGCATGTCCAGGAGCTTCGCTCCAGTTTCGCTTCGCCCAGGTGGTGGTGGTTTCTCCACGGTGCCTCAGGTGTTGGTTCTCCCCCGCCTCGCCTTCCGCACCACGCGCCTGGTGGTTGGTTCAAGCTAGCGCTAATCAACATCGCGGTAGTTTGCTTGCTGCCTGTTTGTTCATGTTGGAGCCGCCCGAAGCATGGTATGCATCATCGAGATCCACATGCCGAGCCACTCGATCTACACGCGCGACATGATGGTGGGCAAGATCGCGATGAGCAGGGAGAACCTGCACTGAGAAGTGCATGAAATTCCTCAACTTTTAGTACCATATTCGAGCTACTGACAAAAAGCGGAATCTGTCTGTGTGCAGCTTGTCGCGACTAGACTACTTGATCGCTAACAACTAACTTGCCTCCATGCTTCCGGGCCACTCGTCCTCTAGTTGTTTTTGTTTTTTTAGTCAAACTGTAATACGACATTTCTAGTTTCCTGCTAGCCATGTTCGTTCTTTTCTGGTTGAGACTATGGTACTGTCAAAAGTACTGGCAATACCTTTGGTAGTTCAAATCGCGTTGTGTTTGGGCTGGAGAAACACCCTTAATCAGAGGATATTCTAGGTGTCAAACAAATATTCGGTGGGTTTTTGTTTGCCAAACCTTGTGGGCGCCTTTGAAGTAGTATTCTCTGGAAAAATTGGCATTTGAATTCACGGGGTTTATGAATCACGGGCCGACATGAGTACAGACATGCGAACAGTTCGGGATGGCACCATTGCCCAATGGTTTACTTCTTACCTCTCCCCTCCCCATTACATCTACGAAATAGTTTGCCATCTTCCTCTTGAAAGCCGTGGACATGAATCCGTTCCATTTGCTGAATAATATGTGTTCTCAATTGGCTTTGAAGGCGAATCTATCACTACAGGAATATATATATATATATATACATGCATGTATGTATTATATATATATATACACGTAGCATAGCCCTCCCACCAATGAACATGGCACCTGACATGGGTCCCTTTCAAAGCAACATGGTGCAAACCAGGACCTCCATGTGAAAGCTGACCTAATTCCACCAATCATGAAAGCTGACAGGAGGGTTTTGGAGGACTACTTTCCTTCTGGGGAAGCCCCAAACCGTTTTGGCTTCCATGATTGTTGCAGGGAGGGGAACGTTGACCCCATGTGAAAGCAACCAGCTGTTCCCCTCAAAAAGTCGCCTGATTCCCGACAAAACCCAAAAAACACCCCCCCTATTAGCTTGGGCATGTATATTATATATATATATATATAATATGTACACATATTTATTTGTATAATATGTACACGTATATTTACATGTTGGGAGGGCTGTGAGGCTTCCCACAGACCCGCGCCGAGGCCTGCAGGCGCCCACGGCCGCGGTGGCGTTGCCGAGCCACGAGGCCCTGTGCATCGCCCCGGCGCCGCCCTGCGGCTTCGGACTCTTCGCGGCTTTGGCTCGGAGGTACTGGGGGTCCAAGTTGGTGGACATTCACCGAGATTTCGGACCCAAAGATATTTTCTTTCATTGAAAGCCCGACCCGTTTTTTTGCCCAGCTGCGAGCCATGTTCTCTTTAGGAACAGGGGGCGAAATGGACCCGATGCGTTTTTCCATAGCTCCGACCCGATGCGCGTTTCCCCAGCTGGAAGCCCTGTTCTCTTTGAGAACCGGAAAGGCGATGTTCTCTCTGGTTTCCTTGGCAACCCCAAAAGCGTACCGTTAATCCATTTGCTGAAATGAATATTGAATGTTTCACCCTCTTGGTTTTAAAGGACATCTATGACTATTGGACATATTTTCTCCATTTGTCTCAATTGCTGGAAGGTATGGGGTTGATAGGCCCAGATAAGCGCTGTGCTTTCAGGGAGGATTCCGGAACGTTCCAGGGGTTCCAGGCTATTTGGGATACAATCTCAGCTTATTGTTTGAGGCGGAGGGCTCGCTTTCAGGTTGGTGGCAGGGTACGAGAAGGGTCTCCTATTCTTATTAAAGGTAAATGATTGGTGTGTGTGTGTACTTAGAATTTGCGCTTGGCTCGGACGCGAACACTCCCCTGTATAAACTCAGCACTAGATCCACAATGAAATCCCGGGTAGACGAAGGGTAGTAAGGGAACGTCCCCATTCGTAGGTGCGGCCGCCATGGTAGTGCTGTACATGGCTTTGGATAGACCGCGTTAGCACCAGGTGTTGATTTTGCTTTAAATGGATTTCTGCTTGTTTGAAGGCTTGGTACCGTCGGCACAACTTCCAACTTGGGAAGCTAAACGGGACAACCACTGTGGGGGTCCTAGTTGATCTTGAAGCCGAGGAACCGCTTAGTGACTGGAGGCAATGTGATCCGCCAAGTGTTTGATTCAAATCCGCCATCTTTTGAGTGACCCGAACGACTCTCTTTTCTGTCCAAAAGTGTGGTCCTGTGTTGGTTCAAATAGTTCTCCGTTTGACCACTTGGTGTTTGACGACGTGGTTCTTCACCGCTTGGTCTTTGTCTTTTTGGTTGCCTCTCAGACCCAGGGCCTGGGACCAACTCCGACTGAAAACCCGGACGTTCGAAGTCCTTCACCTCAGTGCCCTCGAAAACCCCATGGGTCGGCTTTCCCGGCCATGCTTTATTCCAAAACACCTGTGTTGGTGTGTTTGTTCTCTTCTTTTTCTGGGGACCCCTCTTGTTGCTTGGGTTTTTTAAAGGGCACCATGTTGTTTGGGGGCACCCCGATTTTGAGACCCACCCGTTTTTCTCGGTTTTTTGCCCAGGAGCTTGGGTTTTGGGTTTCCTTTGCGCGAATTTCCGCACGTTTGGTCGCCTTCTCAGGCCACCCGGGCGCTGAGCAGGGGCGAACGCTTGGGGGAGTACACCGGAGAGGCTCGGAGGTATGACCTCTGGTGCGATGAGATCAAGGCGCGGTCGAAAAGTTGATGCTGGGTAACATTTTAGGTTTCTGCTTATTGTGGTTTAGTGGTTGAAGTCCCCACTTTGCTCCTAGCGCCGGAATTGAAATTGTTGCTCCCCTGCCAACGTCAACCCAGCGGTCGAAAAAAGTTGCGCCGGGAGCCCGACAACATCCAACGAAGGGCGAAGGCTTTCCTACGGGGAAATGGGATCCACTTGGACCATTGGATGTGCGCTCAGCTTGTTGCTCAACCTCACACTAGCCATAGAAAATGGGGCAATCACCCTGTTTGTGGGTAATGTGAGGGTCCTGGTATGTATATTACGAGTATTAACGAGAGGTAAGCACTAGAAAAGCGCGCGAATGAAGCTTATCGCATCTACTGAAGGCGGTGGTTGCCTTGAACCGAGGGTACAAGTATGGATACATCTAGAGGCGGATGGTTGCACATGGACATTAGACATGTGTGCGTATGTGCCAACAATTATGTCGACTATCAATGAAGCATGTATGCTTAGTGACTCCTTTGCGAGCATGAAGGATTTGGGTCGCATGTTCAGAACTGCAGTCTGACATGTTCTAAAGACGTCTAAGGTGCATTGTGTGGTCGTTGACATTGCGCAGAGTGTTAGCCAGTTTCTTGGCTATGTGTATGTCAATATTATGCGACTTCCTCAATGCCTTTTTGCAAGGGAAGGTTTACGACCTTCAGGGCCCCTTAATTAGGATTCAATGCTTCGATGCCGTATCAATATGCAGGTGCAGCCTCGCCTCTTCAGGACACTGGTTTCATGGGATGTTGAGTTGGGCATGGTTTGATCCCGCAGCACGGTAGAAGAAGCATACGTGACTGGAAATCTGGGACCCCTTCTATGTTTCTACTGGGTTGTAGAGGGAAACCGGCGGGAGAAGCTGGATGCTAAATAGCCCATGATCTTCAATTGAGTTTCCCCAACAGGAAACCACAAGGGGGAGGGTAATTTTGTCTTTCTCCAGACCCCAATTTAGCACCCGGAAAACGAACACGAAGCCAGGGCTTGCCTTGCCAATGACTCCGGCAGAGGAACCTCGTTAGATCATTGCCTCATGTTTCCTTGAAACGGACGCCACGCCTGAGTATGGTCCAGATTGATCCGAAGTCAACATTGCATGCTTCAACGCCGAAGCGCCACGTTTGTTTTCGGGAGGCACGCAAAGTCGCGCAGCGGGGCAGAGATGACGCGTCCCCTTTCATCGTGGAAGAGCTTTATGCAGCCTGGGCAGGCCTTTGATGTCTCAGAGTCTTGCATTTGTCTTCGGTTTTCTCAGTCTCTGTCTCTTTCTCTCTCCCTCTATATCGTGTTTCCTTTTCAAGAGCAAACCTCATTGCTTTCCCAAAACTCCCCGCTTTTAAACTTTTAACACAATGAAACCATGGACCCTGCCCCCCAGTTCATAAGACATGGTCACAGGGTATAGGATGATGTTGCGATGATCATTAGAGAAAATTAGAGGTGGGAACAGGTACGGGTCAGGTGCCATTCTCTGCAAATCCTACTGAAGATTCAGAGGCATGCGTTGGCATGATGCGTTGTTGGCGAATTGATGATTCGAGAACAGGGGTCTCACAGCATCTAGTGCTGTTGTCAAGGGCCTGTTTTTGCCAGACAGCCGCATGCAACCAAACTACAAGACACCTGTTGCAGCAACTCTAGGAATGTTACGGGAGGTTCGCAAGGGTCTTAACCTTCTGACACCACAATTTTGAACCCAACCTCAATATCCAAGCACATCAGCGTTTGCTTCACTCGGGGCGGACCACTGGAATAGCAAAGTCTGGAAGCAAACACCAGCAGTGTCAGCCGCTCCTCCTCTTTCGCCCTCGAAGAAAAGCGTCGCTACATGTTCTATCGCGGCATCAATATAGGGATGCTGCTGCACTCCTTGTATCAGGACATTCCAAATCGACATCAACCAGCCAACAACACAGGATGCCAAGACATGCCTCTAAATGTTCCCTAGCATTTGCCTCCCTCACTTTATCTGGCATGGTAGTGTGTGTGTGTGTGTCCCTTGTACTGGTTTCTATATCTACAGATTACGGATTGGGATCAGGGAGTCACCCCTTTTTTGTACATGGCTGTGGGTCAAAACCAATGGTACCATTTCGGGGTATGTGCACCACCCATTTTAGTCTATTTTAGTTGGGATTGGGATGTTCACTGGGGGTACGATTTGGATTTTGACCCACAGCCACATCGAGCCGAGAGCAGGGCTTTGCGCTTTTCCGCGCCAGGCAGTGGGCCGGGGGACAAAGGCGTCGTCATCGATGCCTTCTCGGCCGGCAACGCCATGCGCAGCTCGGAGCGAAGCCAGCTGGGTACTCTAGAAAACGCTTTGCGCGTGGCAAATCTGTGGATCCACCCCTGTAGGATAGTATTAAAAGAGTACTAAAAAGGGACCTATAGGGGGAAACTGTGAAATCCACCAAAAAGTCGCCCATACCCCCACCCCCCTTATGGTCAACCACATTTTGGAAAACCCGAGTTTGGAGGGTGCTGGGGAGTCTGGTCTCTGATCCTGTGACCACAGGCCAATAGGATTTTGTTGACCGAGGGGCTGGAGAGGGCTAGGAATCAGAGGATGTGTCGTGCTATTTCCGGGGGGGGGGGACAGCCTTGAAGAGAGATACCATGTACAAATGCATAGAAGCTTGCTGTTTTCGGCTGGCCACTTTATTTATTTATGGAATGGCAACCCTTGAAACTGTGGAGGGAGTTAGTATTGGCAGCAGAATTGGTCATAAAAAGTGTGTGTTTTGGGTATTATAGTTTTGGGCCGGAAAGGGGCATCTTTAATCAGAGGTTTTGGGAGGTTCCGAATTTTGGCCACACCTGGTGGGTGCCTTTAAAGTAGCATTCGCGGGTCGACAGGGAAACCAGGGCTCCTTTAACCAGAGGGGAGTTTATTGATGTGCCGACATTAGCGTGGGAATGGTTTTGCTGATCAGCGAAAGATGAGTTTCAAAGGATGGAGAATTCAAGAACAAACATACCATTGGTGAATGAAATGAGTGTGTGCACGGTGCGGGCACGAGCATCATCACAATGTGGCCAATGCCTCTTTGCACTACGAAAACATGAGCTGAGCCGCCCCACATGGGGTTGTGCGGCATCGGGCCCATCCCTGACAAGTCAAACCTTCAGGATCCCTTCAGCATTGCTGGAAGTGCTAAAGATCTGGGAGAGGTCTTTGCCTGCTTTCGAGAGCCGTGTTTCGGGGCCGATGCTTGAATTGTAGGTTGTGGTCATGCTGCTCGCTTGTGCTCCTTGGGAACTTTTACCTGGAACTGCATTCATGTAGTGCTTGTTGAGCCAAGCTGCCTCAGTTTCGCACTCCCTTCTTGGATGTTCAACCCACTAAGTAAGTAGTTGGTCGACATAGTTGTACCTGGCCTTAGTCCCTCACACGGAATAATGAATAACCTACGTCAGTCGTTCGAACACCCAAGCTGTGGGCTGCAGGCTTCATCAACTGCAGCTGTCATCCCAACTGCTCCTTCAAGAAGCTTCGCTGCATTTTCTCGGCCACTTCGCGGCATCAGAAGATGCAGTCCCACACCTTCTCAATAATTACTGTATGTTATCAACTAGGGAGCGGCCACAGTGAATGCCAAAATACTGCCTCCTTTTAACGTCATGAATGCTAGAATGGAATACTCTGAATTCTGAAAACAAGCAATTCGATGGATGGTATTTTTGTGCAACGACTTCCAACTCCAACTCAGTCATGACCCCATTGAAGCGGTCAGAAGGAGAAGTCAGGTAGATGCTTGCAGATATTCATAGGGTTATGATACCCTTCAGAAGCAGGCCAGCTAGCCAGCCACAACCGACCTGGATCTCCCTGTAGCCGAGGGGTCGGAGCTACTGCAAGGGTTGGCCCAACCCCTGTTTGAACATGCTTAATTAACATTCTTCAAAGAGCCTCCTGGATCCTTTGGTTTCTCTGTAAAGTGACCGATTTGGGTGTGGAAGGCTTACGCGGCTTCAATGAGCCGATTTCTGTGATCAATCACCTGGCCGTCTCAGAGCTCCAGGCGAGAAGGATTTCCAAAGCATCCCTTGAAACGTCCAGCGACCCACAATCAAACGGGTAATTGGAGGGTAGGGACAATCCCAGCCACAAATGGGTGCGGGATTCCGCCTTCTCAATTCTTGAAGCATGGCTCTGGGTCGACCATGTTAATCCCGGTAGTAAGGGACGATCCCAGCCATAAATGGGTGCGGGATTCCGCCTTCTCAATTCTTGAAGCATGGCTCTGGGTAGACCATGTTAATCCGACGATCCCAGCCATAAATGGGTGCGGGATTCCGCCTTCTCAATTCTTGAAGCATGGCTCTGGGTAGACCATGTTAATCCCGGTAGTAAGGGACGATCCCAGCTATAAATGGGTGCGGGATTCCGCCTTCTCATTTCTTGAAGCATGGCTCTGGGTAGACCATGTTAATCCGGTAGTAAGGGACGATCCCAGCTATAAATGGGTGCGGGATTCCGCCTTCTCAATTCTTGAAGCATGGCTCTGGGTAGACCATGTTAATCCCGGTAGTAAGGGACGATCCCAGCTATAAATGGGTGCGGGATTCCGCCTTCTCAATTCTTGAAGCATGGCTCTGGGTAGACCATGTTAATCCCGGTAGTAAGGGACGATCCCAGCTATAAATGGGTGCGGGATTCCGCCTTCTCAATTCTTGAAGCATGGCTCTGGGTAGACCATGTTAATCCCGGCTATAAATGGGTGCGGGATTCCGCCTTCTCATGTCTTGAAGCATGGCTCTGGGTGTGGCGCCTTAATCCCAGGTTTTGATTTTGACTCCAGTGGTCATCGCAGGCTATTGGGTCAATCGGTCGGTCCTTCAGACGGCCTCGCTCGTCGTGGAGTCGTTTCCTGACTCAGGTGTGGCCAAACAGGGCGCGGCCAAACCCTGGCAACTCATCATGGCCACAATGTCAAAGCCATCCTAGGGAGTTTAGTATCTTGAAAAAGACCCAGCCGGACGTTCCCTAAAGACCGTCGAAAGGAAAGCTCGGCTCAACACGAGATGGGACTTCTCTAAATGGTGCGCTTCATGTTGGTCGTAGGTCATGGTTGGAGTGTCCACAGGACTCATGCTCAAATCGGTGAGCGATTCTCCCATAAGTTGTTTCCTTTGGTTTCCCGCGGAACACAGCAAATAGCCGAGCTGAGCACTCTAAAGATATGTGCTCAGATACGCTGTTGTGGGGCTCCTTTTTGATGTCCATGTGAATTTGCAGGGAAGTACTTGGATGTTCAACCCACCTGGTAAGCAACCAGGATGACCATGGTTTAAATGGGTGTCTCTTTCTGAAGGTGCCCTTTTTCAGGTTGGTCTACAGGGAAAACAACAGAAACACCTCTCATTTGGGGGGGGTCCCCTAAAAACGGGGACACTCAATATATGTTACGCTGGCCTCATTACTTTACCATGATTCATGTCACCCCCTAAGTGGTGGGTTAAGGGAAACAACCCCATTTTCGGACTTGGATAATCCCCGAAACCGTCCAAATAATGACCCGTCCAAATAAATCCACCAGCCCACCGCAGGTTTTACTCCTTCTTTCCATTTTCCAGGGCAACGTCTTCCCGTCCGTGGCTGGAGCTTTCTATTGCCCGAGGACAGTTGCCGTGGGCTTCCAGAAGCACGGGCGCTTGCAGGTGGCAGCTTGGACTCAAAGCTAAAGCTGGATTTTTCTAAAGGCTGGCCAGCCCAGCCATCCGGTTCCTTATCTTAGATCCTTTCAGCGTTTAGTAGTTTTCCATTTCGCCCGCTAAAAGTTATTCACTTTTGGCGGGGGATCTAGATCGGAGGGCAGCCCAAGCAGATGCATTTCGAGGGGCTTCTGAGCATTACTTGGGTCCAAAGGTGCTTTCCCGTTGGCGAGGCTTGGGCGTGGGGTTTTTCTGCAAGCCGTGAGTTGGTCAAGGAGTTGCTCCGATGATGGTCCGATGATGGTCAAGTTTCCCATGAGAAGACGTAGGACAAGGTCCCCTGTAAAGATTTATGTGTATTATGTATGCATATGTATAATATATATATATATATATGTTCACATATATTTTCATATACAAATGGTTTGATGCATGCACATACATATATCGGCGAGATCTTGACCAGTCTTGGGAGCTATGTCGCATTTCCAGTCCACCAAGCAGTGCCGGATGGGGTTCTGTCTGTGTGTGTGTGTGTGTGTTTGATTCCTAGTTCTAAGCATGAGACAAGCTGCTTGCTCTACTGCTATTGGGTTGGATCTCTAGACTTTAGCCTTTTGGATTCCCCTCATATTTCTTTGTAACCAGCAAAAAGTTTAGCTTTTCGCTGGGGGATCTAGCCATGAAGCGGAATTCACTCTAAACCAGAAGCATCCCTTTCCGGACAAGTGTGACGGCTGCTTGGGTTGCTGGTGCCAGCATAGGAAGTGTGCCCGGCTGGATCTGGGTGAATTATAACGACCTCACACGATCTCGCTCCAAATGATGGCTTATGCCGGGAATGGGCCCCCAAAGCACCTTGTTTCAGGCGGGTGAAATATTGTAATTCACCCAGATATTATCTTGCGCAGCAAGTGAGAATTGCCCAGACATATGACTCAGGAAGAAATAAGTGGCGGTCAGCCGCCTTTACATGCCGCGGCGTTGCTTTGATTGTCATGCGGGCACTCGCAACATACGTGTGTTGTGTAGGTCAACGCTTAAATAAATAAATATATATATAGTGTAATATATATATATACATAATACATATATATATATGTATATGCACATGTGTATGTATGAATATACTATGTATACATTTGTATACACATACTATGCTAGGTTGCATCCAACACGAGAGTCTCCCCTCACTCGTCGTCCCGTCACCGCAAAGGTGACGACGCGGGACATTGATGCTGGGGAGCAGCTCTCGGTGGATTACGGCGGCTCAACTCGGTGGATTGGGCCCGGGGCTTTGGAGAACTTCCCCAGAAGTAGTTCCCCTTTTTAGTTGTTTTTCTTTTCTTTTTGGGTGTTCCCTTTGCTTTCCCCTCACCAGGCAAAAATAAAAATAAAAAATGCTGGGATCCTAATTCCAGCCAAACGTAGTGCTTATTATGTGGTGGACCTAGAGGTTATTTTTCCGTTCCCAAAGTGATTGGATCTATGGAACCATGCATAAGAACACATATATGTATATGTGTGTGTCTATCACATACTGCCTTACTAGGTTGAACCTAGCGGCAGCTTCGTTTTCGAAGCCTGGCCACTTGCAACATCGCCGCTGAGTGCCCACCCTTGCCCACCCGCCTCTGAGTGCCCACCCTCTGAGTGAGTGTGTTTTTTTGTTGAGAAGCCAAGGATTTTCAGGGCCCTTCTGCGGATGGTTTCGAAATTCATTTCGTGAAATGAAACGATGGTTGAAACTATTGTTGGGTAGTTACTGGGGAATCGAATCATTCCAAGGTTTCTTTAGAGGTGCAGGATTTCGTCCATCCACAGCATGTTGAGACAATCCCAGTAGTACCCTCATTCGGGTTTAGTCCCCTTTAGCCACCAGAAAATTGTGCCATCTACTGTAACCCGAGTGCGAATTCCCTGCTCTCGTTCTAGCATGGTTTTACAATGAGCCTGCGTTCAAGGGCCAGAAGCAATTCAGGGCTCTTTGTGGTAGCCGTAGCGTCCAGACGCTTTAAGTTCAGACTGACAAGCTGAGCACGGCTACCATTTCGGTTCACAAGAGAGAAATGGCTAGAGTGGATTTCTTAGGCAAACTTATATAAACATGAGGTTTGCTGTGGCACAAAACACTCATCCCCCCATAGAGGCGGCCAAGCACAATACTGATCGCATACAGCTTTTCGCTGGAGGTCGAAATACTAAACTTTCTGGCTGAGCGCGGATGCTTCGATTTGCAACCCGCTCAATAGATTGTAACCATGCTTAAATGCTGCTTTCTGAGTGGGTTATCCAAGCAAGCTCCTTGCTCCGTTCATGTCCATCAACGGTTGTGATCTACTTACCCCATTCCCATGGCAATGGGTGTTTCAATCAAAATTCAGGAACCACACAAACGGAAAAACATCCTCGTGCCATGGTTCAATGCACCCACCAAAAAGGGGTCCGGAGCAAACCCCTTTGATCACTGTGGTCGCCCACGTAGCTTATATCACGGTTAACATCATGGTACTCTACGCGGACATAACTTAGGGTTACCTGGAGCACCTGACTGAACTTGTTTTCCGCCGGATTACCGCAATCCATTTTGGTTATCCGTGGTAGCCGTTGTAAGAAGCAGAGAGTCAACAGGCTTTGGTAGCTCAACTTCTGAGCCACTCCAAAAGTCGCAGCTTCAACAGAAACCGCCAGTCGATTGCGGCTTAAGGGTAAATCCAATGATTATACATATGTATATATATATATACATGTATATATATATATATATACACATGTGTATATATATATATATATATACACATGTGTATATGTATATAAACACATATACACATGATATATATATATATATACATGCATACATATATATATATATATACATAAATATGTATAGTCCCAAGTGGATATGTCACGTAGGGATTCCATACCTGAGATCAGTTAGGTTGGTACTACGACCCGCCCACCTTGGAGGCGGTGCGCCTCGAAGCGGCGAAGGCGTTCAACCAGCACCTCTCACAACTCCAGGCTCCGGGCCGGCGGATGCTGGGGGGGCCCTGGTCGGAAGTTCCAACGAATGGAGAACTGGGAAAAGTCTCGCGGTTTAACCGGTCTTTTGGGTTGTTCGGAATATTCGAGCCGCATGTTGAAACCAGTTTAAAACCAGATTGAAACCAGATTGAAACCAGTTTGAAACCAGTTTGAAACCATAAATAACCATTGTTTGTTGGTATCTACAGGGCAATTGATTTATTCCAGGTTTCTGATGTGGTGCAAAAAATCGTCCATCCACAGTAGCGAATGGAGAACTGAGAATGTCGCGTTCCGGTCATTGGGTGCTAAGTTTGACTTGTTGTTGTTTCTGTTTCGGTTCGAGGGAAACTGTCAAAATGGCGAGAGCTGTTCGGCGTTTGGTGTTCTTGAGGTTCTGTTGAAAAGTCCTGCTTGCCGACTTTGAATTGCAGAGTCTCGCTTCCTGAGTTAATGAACTTTAAACTTTTTGGGAAGACCATTTTAGTGGTAAATATAAAATTTGGACTTTTTTGGGCCATCCACTCAGCCAGTGGGGCACTGAGTGGGGTTCCGTGCGCTCGTGAAAAGATTTCCAGCCCGCAGTCCCTGGCTCTGCCCACGCGCGAGCGACTGGATGAGACCGTGCAGTTGATCTCCTCCTCTCTGGAGGCGGGCGTCGAAACATGGCGGCGATTTCCGCGCGCCGAAATTGTCCATTCGCTGAAACGAGTTTTCCCTGTTGGTTTTAAAGGACATCTATAACTACTTGATTTGTTTATCTTTTCCAGGGTTTTTAGGGGCTTCATGCATTTGATGCGGTCATAATTTTGAGGGTTTCTGGGGGTTATCAAAGTCAGAACATGGGGTTGTTTCCCTTGAACCCGCCATTTCGGGGGTGATTTTGATCATGGTAAAGTAATGAGGCCAGAAAATAGGGTAACCCTGGTGGGTTTCCAGTTCGGGCTTCCCTTGAAACCACCTTTTGGGGGGGTACCCCCTAAAAGCAGAAAAAAACACGGACAAGCTCCGGCCCTCGCTCTAGCTGCTAGTTCTTGACGCCGGAACATCGGCTGAATGTTGGACGCTGGATTCCCATGTGGCTGTGGGTCAACTGCTGGGTTAGATCTTTAGACCTTAGTTGTTTGGGAAATAATAAAGGGGGTTTTCCACTAAACCCCAAAAAAGTTAAACTTTTTGGGGGGGGGCAATAGCAATCAAGCACCGCCCATTTTAGAACCTATTTTAGTGGGAATTGTGATGGTCGCTGGGGGTACGGGCTTTGGATTTTGACCCAGGGCCATGTGGGCCAAAGAATGCCAAAAGTTGGATCAGAGGAAGGGCCGCGGGCCAGTCTGAAGGGCCAGGCCTGAGGGCATACTGGACATGTGTCACGTGGGCATTGCAAGTGGCAGAAAGTTGCGCAGGATTCTGGGCTCCAAAACCAAACTCTGAAAGCAGGCTTGCTTCAGTGAACAGCACTTCTGGAGCTATGGAGGTGTGAATGAACCAAGACGTGATCCAAGCTGCTTGGGACCCACACAAATTGCGGCTTTCCTCCTGGTTTCCCTTGAAAACGGAGCCGCAAGGAGAGCCGTTCGCCGAGCGCAGGGTGGCAGCCCAGAGCACTTCCTGCAGCGTTTCCTGGAGCCTGAGAAGTTGCGGAGGCGGGGGAGGGCAATCTTCAAGAGCCACATGCGTGGCTCGTCTTCTTCTTTTGTTCCTGGTTGGTTTTCCTTTTAAGAAAAATACCCTCAAAAGAGGACACGCCCACATTATGTGGTTTCAACGATTTACACATATTTCCCAAGTTTCGGAAGATTCGCCACGCGCGATGTAAAACTTGGGGGGGATCGAGCAACAAGCTCGGAGCTGCCTGTGGGGCGTCCCTAATGTTACAGCATGTCGGCAGTTTGTTTTTTTGTTTTGGGAGGTGTTCCCCTCAAAAGTTTCATGGGGGCAGGGAAGTGGAGTAAACACGGTTGCATGAATCACTTAGATCAGGGCATTCGGCTGCATTTGCAAAAAAAAAACTGAGCTTCCGAGATTGGGCATTTGCGTCAGGGGCAGTCGGGTGTAGTGGCATCTCACCCGTGCATGTGAGAATTCTTCGGTTCCATCCATGGAGAGCCTCTGCAGATTTCGGGTTATTTGGTGTTAATTTCATGTTGGTGTGTGTGTGTGTGAGTTTTCCTTCCCAGCATGCTCTGCATCACACCGCAAAAGAAGAAAAATGTGGCACAGCACTTCTTCTTGTAGCTCATTTGAAACCTAACTGCAAAAATCAGCGACCAGGTGCCAGCGAACCGTCCCGTACGTGTTGACTAAAATCGCCCAAACCCCGCCCTGAACTCAGGGTGTTGGCGAAATCCGGGGACCTATGACTGCAATGGCTGATTTCCGTTGATCCAAGTCCAAAAGGGAGCCCTACTCCCAACAGCTAAACTTTGACTTAAGATGTATTTTTCCCCGTTGGTTTTAAAGGGAATCTACATCTATGACTACTGGAAGTATTTTTACTTTTTCCAGGGGCCAAAAAAGCAAATGGAAGTAAACCTTCCCGGTTTGCTGCTTCTCTTTCAGTTGTTTGGCCTCTTCGCCAGGTGTTTGGCGAGCGGAGCCCTTTGCGAGGCACCAGGAGCCTCCGCGACGCAAGCGCGACGTTCCACACGTGCCGTGTCTGAGCCCCGACCCTTTCCTTCGGCCCGGAAACCAAGGAGGGGGCTTCTGGGGTAGATTTAGGATACATTTTACATTTTACCAATGCCTCCAGGGCCTGACTCTAATCATGGCTTTTCTAGATTCCACTTTGGATGGTGTAATACATCCCGTATTGCCAAGCTTCTGTGAGTTTCCTGATGGTGTTTGGGGAGGTTTTCAGGTTGAACAGACGATGTGACACAGCATGTGACTTTACCAAGGGAACCACCAAGTGAAATATTTCTAGCTTTTATATTCCCATGGTAGTTATGAGCAGGGGTGCCTGTTCTTGACTTGAAACTACAATCTGATGCCTGCAATCCATCGCCGAGTGGGAGAACAAGAATCTTTAGACGGTGCCCCTCACACACTGAAGATGCGCTTGACGAGGCAGCTTTCTTCAGGGAATTCCATTGCTTGTCGCCCATGAGGTAGGGGCTAGGACTTTTCTTCGGCGAAGTTGCCAAACACCATCCCATGCGAGCCATCGAGCCCAAGCACCGCTTTGCCCTTGGTCGTGTGGGTTCCCTACAAATGGTCAACCCAATATGACTAGGTCCCCCAGTAGTGCCCTTTAACCTTTTTTTGGGGAGGGTTCCCCTACTAGATAGAATAGACTACAGAAAAAAAAGGTACCCTGATTCTAGCCTCTCAAATCTGGAGGGAGGACCTAGATGCGAGGGACTGGAAGGACTCTGGCGATGCGTTTGCGAGGATACCAGGACATTCCAGATGCCCTGTGGCCGATCTACGAGGTCCTCGGGGCTGAGAGGATCCTTAGCAAGTTCAGCGCTTCGAATCTGGGGTTGGGGTTGTCATGGGTTTCCCCTGTAATGTTAACCCCGGATTAATAAACCCCTGGTTGATGAATTGGGGCGGTTGTCCCTTCTAGTGGGGATTCAGGCCACTTTTTACAGGGAACACCCTCCAAAAATGGGACGGGTTTATTAATCCTGGGTCAACATTACCAAGTGCAAGAACTGGGTCCCAATGCTCTAGCACACATCCACATGCAGGGATGTGGGTGCTGATGCTGTTGGGTGTCGTTTGTTGATGGATGATTCCTTCAACCACGTGCGTTGAAACGGGCTCGCTTTGATTCTCAAAATCGATAACTACAATCACGCGCAGAGTGGAAGGATGCCATGCAGAGTGATGAGCCATGAGCAAGGATGTCAACCAACGTTGGAGACGCTTTTTTCGCCGGTCCAAGCCTTGCCCTACCGCTTGCCATGTTTCAGCAACCTGTTAACATCGAAACTCCCCGCTATGGATTGTGGCCACGGAGCAAAGCATGCGGCGCAGGCTTCACAACTTCAGCGTTTCCAGGGCCAGAAATCATTTCTAGAATATGTGAGCCCTCTACCATTCACGCAAAGACGACAAACAAAGAAGCATGAACGTACTATGTCACTATGTCCCTGATAGACAGCAACCTATGCACCAAGTCTCCATCCTGCAGGGAGTTCAAGAGGCATGGTTCAGCATGACATCAAGACTGAACGGGGTCTCAACCAAACGGACTCGGTGTGTCGTGGTTGCCGACATTTGCTTGAAGATAAGAGTGGCCCATGGGTCGACTATAGAGTTCCGCGTTGCTAAGTCGTTGCTTTTTCTTCTGGAAATGAAAGAAGCAACTGCAGGGCCCATGAATATTGATCAACCCACATATCCCGAACTGGGTCGGGCTCTTTGGCTATTTGCTCTATTGGTTTCTTGGAGGGACTCTGAGCTTTATCGTGGAGGATGAAACCACAGCTTGATACCAAAAACATGGTCCCTGGAGTCACTGGAGTCTCCTTTCGATCCTTAAGTTGGGTAAGGATTCCATGTTAAATGGAGGGGAAAGCGGTTTCGACATCTCTTCGGATTCAGGCTTGGTCCTAAAGCTTGTGTGTGGCAAGTGGTTGCTTCCCGATGGCGTGGCCGAGACTCGATTTCTGCCTTAGAAAATGTGTATTTTTGTTTGTTAGTGTATATATATATATATGTCCAGACGACTTTGGATGCACTTAAGCAAATAAATCCACACAACAGGAGTCACTCATGCAGATGGTGTTTTTCTTCGGTGTTTTTTGAGGTTGCCCTTCTTGGGGGTCGATTCATCAGCTTCCCCCTAACTCGTGGTTTGGATGAGAGTTGAACCCCCAGTACCTTGCGAACCCAAAAAAGGAAGGTAGCCAAGGTCCCACCAAACCAAACTACGGTCATGTTGCGTGATAAGAAATCCCTTTCTGTCGAGAGTCTTGCAAATGTCTTAACACACTGAGGGGGGAGGGTTCCCTTACTAAAATAGACTACGGAGGAGAAAACAAACAAAAATCAATCGGGTATCCTTATTCTAACCTCTCAAATCTGGAGGACCTAGAAACCAAACCAATTCGGGGGAAAGCTGAAAACGCGATTCGCGGCGCCGAGGGTGGGTATCTCCTGCCGCTGCGCGCTGGATGCCAGCCGCCTGTTCGCAGGTCTACCCAAGTCTCGGCCCAGGGGGTGTGGTCTCTTTTTGTTTGGGTGTTGTGGGTGGCCCTTTGTTTGGTACGTGGTCTTGTTTTGGGGGCTTTTTAGTAGCCCTGTTTTGTATTTTTGTTTTGTGGCCCTTTGTTTGGTAAGTTGTCGTGTGTTTGTTTGCCCCTTGTTTGGTGAGGCTTAAAGGGAAGCCAAAAGCAGAACCACCACTCCCTTTTTTGGTAAGTGTTAAAGGGAAACCAAAAGGAGAACCACCATTTTTGTGGCATGCTCCGAAAATGAGAGACACCGATATTTTGAATGTTGGTTCCAGATTCCTGAAATACCAGATGCGTTCCATCATTCTTCTCGCTTCAATTCCTTTGAGGTATTGTCCCTTGCTCGCCCAAGTTTGTGGGCCAATTGGCCGTTCCGTGGCACCGATCCGCTTGTCCCTTTCTTGGTTTGGTGGCTTTTTCACTAAATATTAATGTTGACCCAGGATACTAAACCCGCCCCGTCATTAAGGGGTTGTTCCCTCCAAAAGTGAGGAATCCCCACTAAAAGGGGACCCCCTATTAATCAACCAGGGGTTTATTCATCGGGGTGAACATTAACGCCAAAAGAAGGGCTTCAGCTTTTGCTACCAGGGTGACTGAGCAACTGGGCGGGTTCTATGCCAACCTGCTGCCTAGATGGTTTGGAGCCCCGTGGTTTGGTAGTTTGGATCGGTGGTTTCCCAGTTGCCTTCCACAAAAGCCAGGGAGTCAAATCCAAATCCAAACCACCCAACCACCAACTAGAGGGAAGCTGAATATGGGTGTAGGTGTTCAATTGGGCACCCTGTGGTGGACATAATTTGGGGCGGGGGTCGTGTCCGACACCACTTTTGAGGTGATCGCCTATTACAAGTAATAGCCATGTTTCAGATGGCTTCCACCCTCAAACCGCTACCGGGTCCTAAGGGTAAGTTGAGATAGATATACAACCACTATACACCTACATACACTGGCTAAAGTGTACACCATCTTCGATAGATCCCACCGCTTGCACCAAAGGTGTTCGCTGTCGGAACACCCGTTCCCGCGGTGTGAGATAGCCCGAGCCCGCGGTTGCCTCCAAGTTGATAAGATGTTGGTGTTGGAAGACATGGGGCTGGACAGAATGGGGAGGTCCCTTGTTACTTTGTAGCGGCCTTTTTTTTCAGCGTGCTGTGGACATGTTTGCGCCCCTTTTCAGTCCCGCAGATCCTTGTAGCAAATGCTTCCCGACGAAAGGTTGGCCTCCACTTTGTGGGTATGTCTTAAACTACAGAATCCCATGCAAAATCCGTTCGAGCAGACCTAAACAGGCCTGACAAACCGCCAGCAATCCCGGAGGCCTTTGACCCCAGGTGTCAGGAGCATTTGAGCCCCTGCTCGACCAAAAGCAAGCAACGCGTGACTTATGGCCTGAGTCTAGCACTGGCATTTGCTCCCTGAAGTTGGAAATTGAACTGGATGGCTTGGACACACCAAGATGCACACCTGTTGCCAATCACTTTTCCAGTCGTGTGGTTGCCATTCCGTTGCTATCTCGTTGAAACATTATGTTTGGTTTCCTTTGCGGTGTCATTGTGTTGCCGCAGCTTTTCTTTCTGGTCAATTTGAAGTGTCACCTTTTTGTTGCCACTTGGGACCTTTTTTTCCCTGGTGTCTAAAGGGATCTAGCTGACATTTATAAATGAAAAATGGGGGGGAGGGTGTTCCTAATCCTCAACTGCAATCTGTAGTAAGAATTCATTGCCACCTGGCACAAGGATTAAGGAATGATTATTAAACAACCTGAGGAACACTGCTAGGAAACCAAAACGTAGCTGTAAGCACAGGGAACTACAAATGTATGTACCATGTATATATATATATATATATATATAGGTATAGACAACTGAAGCATGGTGGGGCTGCCTTTGGCTTCTCCAACCCCACCACAGGGGTTGGCCTGATCCAAGTTTCGGATACCGGCTATTTGAAGAATGTTCTACTCGGTGATTTGTTGCTTTCGCAGGAAACCACAGGAATGGATAGGCTCTCATTTCTCCCAGAGCCCCGCATGTTCACCTCGGATTAATACATCCCCCGGCGTTCCCTCCAAAAGTGGTCTGAATCCCCACTTAATCAACCAGGGGCTTTTTAATCCCCGCTTCCCAGTATGTACCGTTCGGTGAAGGTAGATGGCACAGCTCCCTCCTGGTTTCAGAGAAGAACTTTCAGAGAAGTGGTTTGTGTTACCATCTACTTTTACCCTGCAGCTTTTCATGCATATATTATAAATCTACAAGTCTCAAGAAACGGCTCAAAGGTTCATGGCTAATTGTTCCTTCATCCCAGGCCCCCCAAACAGGTGTGTGTGTGTGTGTGAGTGTGTGTGTGTGTGTTTGTGTTTGTGTTTGTGTTTGTGTTTGTGTTTGTGTTTGTGTGTGCGTGTTTGTGTGGTTTTGTGTGTGTGTGTTTGTGTGTTTGTGTGTTTGTGTGTTTGTGTGTTTGTGTGTTTGTGTGTTTGTGTGATTGTGTGTTTGTGTGTTTGTGTGTTTGTGTGTTTGTGTGTTTGTGTGTGTGTGTTTGTGTGTTTGTGTGTTTGTGTGTTTGTGTGTTTGTGTGTTTGTGGGTTTGTGGGTTTGTTTGTTTGTGTGTGTTTGTGTGTTTGTGTGTTTGTGTGTTTGTGTGTTTGTGTGTTTGTGTGTTTGTGTGTTTGTGTGTTTGTGTGTTTGTGTGTTTGTGTGTTTGTGTGGTTTTGTGTGTGTGTTTGTGTGTTTGTGTGTTTGTGTGTTTGTGTGTTTGTGTGTTTGTGTGTTTGTGTGTGTGTGTGTTTGTGTGTTTGTGTGTTTGTGTGTTTGCGTGTTTGTGTGGTTTTGTGCGTGTTTGTGCGTGTTTGTGTGTGTTTGTTTGTGTGTTTGTGTGTTTGTGTTTGTGTGTTTGTGTCTTTGTGTGTTTGTGGGTTTGTTTGTGTGTGTGTGTTTGTCTGTTTGTGTGTTTGTGTGTTTGTGTGTTTTTGTGTTTGTGTGTTTGTGTGTTTGTGTGTTTGTTTGTTTGTGTGTTTGTGTGTTTGTGTGTTTGTGTGTTTGTGTGTTTGTGTGTTTGTGTGTTTGTGTGTTTGTGTGTTTGTGTGTTTGTGTGTGCGTGTGTGCGTGTTTGTGTGGTTTTGTGTGTGTGTGTTTGTGTGTGTTTGTGTGTGTTGTGTGTGTGTGTTTGTGTGTTTGTGTGTTTGTGTGTTTGTGTGTTTGTGTGTTTGTGTGTTTGTGTGTTTGTGTGTTTGTGTGTTTGTGTGTTTGTGTGTTTGTGTGGTTTTGTGTGTGTTTGTGTGTGTGTGTGTGTTTGTGTGTGTGTTTGTGTGTGTGTGTTTGTGTGTTTGTGTTTGTGTTTGTGTGTTTGTGTTTTTGTGTGTTTGTGTTTGTGTTTGTGTTTGTGTTTGTGTGTTTGTGTTTGGGTGTTTGTGTTTGTGTGTTTGTGTTTTTGTGTTTTTGTGTTTGTGTGTTTGTGTTTTTGTGTTTTTGTGTTTTTGTGTTTTTGTGTTTGTGTTTTTGTGTTTTTGTGTTTGTGTTTGTGTGTTTGTGTTTTGTGTTTGTTTGTGATTGTGTGTGTTTTTGGAGACCCCCCTTTTGGTTGGTAAGGGAGGGGGCCAACAGGAAACCCGCCCATGTTCGGGTCCAGGTCCCTAAAAACAAAGGCGAACCACCCATTTGGGTGTGTCATTTTTTAGGGGACCCCTCAAAATGGTGGTTTCCCTTTTGGTTTCCCTTTCAGGCTTGACGGCTATTTGGTTGGATCTTTGTTCTTTAACCTTCTGGGAAATGTGGAATTGTGCATTTCACCCACCAACAGGTTTGAACTTGTTGCAGAGGGGTCAACAGCAAAGCTTTAGGGCTTGATTCGCCAGTCTTTTAAACCATCGTTCTTAAAAAGAAGCCAGCCATTTCCCCAACATGTTTGGTGGTTCTCTAGAAAGATCCGGATCCCTGGGTTAAGAATGGAAATGGAGGTTACCAACCTAGAATCACATCACGTAGTTTGCCATTTTGTGGGTACCTATTAAAAAATACATCGCATCATGTAGCCTAACCAAACCTAGAAACGACGCCCGGCGCCCGCCAAACCGACGAAACGACGTGACCCCGACTCCCCCGGGCAGCCATCGCGAGGCTTGAACCCGCTGGGCCGCTGCAGCGGCATCATCGGGCGCCCGCTGCAGGAAGACTTCTGGGGCCGCGACGAGCCGCCAGAAACCACCGCGAAAGAGGGGGGGTTGCGCTGGGGGGGGGGGGGGGCGTGGAAGCATGTTGGCGTGGATATCTCGGAGGTATTCATTGGAACAGTTTCGGGTCTCGGACCATTTTCGCATATTCCCCTAAAATGCGAAGATGGATGTTGATATACACAATTTGGAAGAGAATCTGAAATTATGTTTGTTGGTGTGGTCCAAAAATGGGCCAGTAAAATGGGTGACGATTCCTTTTGGTTTCCCTGTCAACCCCAAAGTGCGAATCAACGAAGTACACATTCATTTGCATGGGCCCGGATAGCAGAGGTTGGAAACAAGAAACAGGTTCAGTCTTGCGTTGGCAATCACGTTTTGAAGCCAAGCTTGACGTGATGTATCCCTGCGTATGGTGATACTGTTGATGGGCAAAACCCTGAACCAGTCGGTTGACATATGCCAACCAGAATGGGTTTCATCCATGCTAGGCGGTGCAGGACTTTGCCCGTCAACAGCAATGAAAGGAAGCCTGCCACCTCTTCATGACGATCAAAGCACCTCCTTGGCACTCCTTGGGCCAAACATCGATCATAGGCATTTCGCATTAGCGATAATTTCGGGACATGTCTCGCTGCCTGACTTTGTTGCAAGAGTCCAATGCCACTTCCTTCATATCAGCCCAGGAAATTCCCAAGGTCCGTATGGTATAGGAATCAGATCGGGGACTGCTCAGCCCGGTACGAACTACAGGACGGCCATGTGCTTGAATACACACGCACTGAGCAAAAGTTTGTTTGCGTTCTTGATTCAGCATGATTCAATGATACCAGTTTGAGATCTTAGATGCGACTAATTGTTTACAAGTGAAATCCATTTGTGCGAAACAAGATGCATGTTTCGCATGATGCAATGTCGTCGGCTCTTGAGTTTGAAACCTGGCAGCCGAGCATGGTCAGGCTTGCTTCCGTGTTAAATCCAAGGGAAGCCAACACCTGCTGTCAGCAGCCCCATGTGCAAACGCTTCCTGACAGCTCGTCCCGAAAACAATGCCGGCCGCAGCTTATGCAAACCGGCTTCGAAGGCAGCAGACATTTAATTTGGGTTGGCCATTAATGTTTAATAGGGAACCACCACAGATGAATCTCCACCTATAGACGATGTCCACCAAAGGGGCCCCAACTG